GCAGGCAGCTGCGTGGGGCTGGGAGGCGGCCCACATGGTCCAGGCCCAAATGCTCAGGGGAGACCTGAGCTGTGGATGGAATGGGGAAGGTGGGAGTGGAATGCCAGGTTGGGGTGGCTCTTCTGTCTGCATGCAGAAAACAGCAGAGGGCAGGGACAGGAGACTCAGGGACAGGAGGGCTGAGAGCTGAACCCCGAAACCTGGTGACAGACAGGAGAGTTGGGAGGGACTGAACCTGTGCAGCACAGGAGCTAGGGTGGTATAGCCAGGCATATGCCCAGACTCCTGGAAGGATATCAGCCGCAGCCTGAGGGTAGCAGGCTGTCTAAGAGAGGCAAGTTGAGTGAAGAGGATGCGGGAGAAGGCTAGGAAGGCTCAGCCACCCCAACTCCACTCATCTCCAGGCCAAGGAGGTCCCTGGTGTGAAGGTCTTTCGCTCCTCAGCCACCATTTACTTTGCCAATGCTGAGCTCTACTGTGACTCACTGAAACAGAAGGTGAGGCCGGGGTCCCCCTGCTTGGTGTGTGTGCGGGGGTCTGAGTGCCGCTCCTCTCCCCAGAGGACCAGAGCCTACCTCTGACTGTGTCTCTAGTGTGGTGTGGACGTGGACCACCTCGTCTCCCAGAAAAAGAAGCGAATCAAAAAACAGGAGATGAAGATGAAGCGAATGAAGAAAGCCAAGAAGTCTCAGAAGCAGGTGGAGTTCCCCCTCATCCCCTCAGCAGCTCCTCCTGGCCCAGCCCTACTGGGGACCCAACCCTGACCCCCAGCCATTTCGTGATCCTCTTTGGCCTTTCTCCCAGTCCGGTCCTTGTCCCATTCCCTCACCCGTCATTTCTCTTCACTACTCTTTGTCCCTCCCCATTCTCTCTCAGCACCCTGGAGACCTTGGTTCAGCCCTGGGCAGGGCAGGGAAAGCTCTGGAAATGTTATACCCCTCGCCTGTATTAGTCACAGCGTGAACCACAGCAGGGTCCCTTTCATTGTCCTACTGTGGCTCCTTGCCCAACGCCAGGGGCAGTACCAGGTCCACCTGGCATGGTTGTCATGTGACACTTGGGATGACTTTCCGAATCACCCGTCTTCCCTCGTAGGATGCCCCTTCCAAGATCGCCTCAGTTTCAGTCAACATCAACACTGGCTTCGAAGACATCAAAAGCAATGATGTGGAGGGTTCCGAGGCCAAGGTGAGGCTACAAATGGGAGGAGGGAACGGCCCAGAACCGCGAAGATGCGGGTGCCGACACATATTACATGAGAAAAGCCGCTAGTGTGGGCTTGAAAGTGTTGGGCTAATGATGGGAGGAACAGGATGATGGCTCAGACGCTGCAGGAAGACCCTTGTGATACCAGATTCTCTCCTGGCTCATGTCTATAATCTCAGACTGACCTAGATTTTATAGACTGACCTTGAATTTATAGGTATAACAAGACCCCACAGTCTACGCTTATGGAAATATTGGGAAAATCTAGCAGAGGGGAGGGGGATACCAAGTTCAACCAAAGACTCAGACAGGTCAGGGGATAAGGTGTGTGTGAATGAGTGTGGGCACAACAATGCTGTGGCCATCTTGTCTATTCCTAGGCTCCTAGGCACTCCACCCTGTTTAGCTAAGGCTGGGACATGATCTCCCAGCACTCTCCCTTCTTGTGTCTCTATTAAGCTTTGGTCCAAGAAGTTTATGCATGTTGGAGTATGCGTTCCTGTGTCCTTACATGTCCTCCTGTGTTACAGATCCACCTGTCTCCTTTCAACCCATGTCTGTGTCCTTATGTGTCCCATGCATGCCTTCATATATCTGCATTTTTACATGCATTTATAGCTTCCATCTAACTGTGTGTCGCTGTATACCGTGTGCATGCCCTGCCTTTGCTCTATCAGGGATGGTCTTTTAGCACATCTGTATCCCCCGCAGGTGCACCAAAGGGAGGAGCTGGAGGATGCAGTCACCAGCAGTCAAGAAGATGTCAAGGCCCCAACCGTGAACACACTGAAGTCCCTGGGCCTACCCCAACCAGACTTCCATAGCCTCGTCCTAGACCTGAGCACTCTCTCCTTCGTGGACACTGTGTGCATTAAGACCCTGAAGAACGTAAGGAACTGTGGGCGGGCTAGGACCCCTTGAGCCTTCACACTGACCACATAGCTTACCCCCTCCCCCCCCCTCCCCCCGAAACCAAGACCTCTGAACTCCCCCACTAAATCTTGCCCAACTGCTGCCCTCTGATGCTAGTCCTCTTTGTTGCTGCAGATTTTCCATGACTTCCGGGAGATCGAGGTGGAAGTGTACATCGCTGCCTGTTATAGTGAGTTGACTGGGGATAGCGATAACATCAGACAGAGGGTGGGACTCTTCTGGTCAAGGGTTTGTCAGACGGCACACATACACAGACATATACACAAACAGACAGACACACAGACTTACATAGACGTATAGACACACGCACAGACACACAGACTTACATAGACATACAGACACACACATAGACATATTCACAAACACACAGACAGACACACAGACTTACATAGATACACACACACACAGACAGACACCTAGACTTACATAGACACACACACAGACACACACACAGACTTACATAGACATACAGACACACAGAGACATATAGAAGTGACTGGGTTTCTAGCTCTAAGTAGCCTCGGATAGCAGGGGTCAGAGAATCCTGTGGGTGCCTGGGGACTGGGTCTCCTGTGGACTGAGTGTCAGGATCTCCTTGCCCACAGGTCCTGTGGTCACCCAGCTTGAGGCTGGACACTTCTTCGATGACTCTATCACTAAGCAGCATCTTTTTGCCTCTGTCCATGACGCTGTGACCTTTGCCCTCCACCACCGGAAGCCTGGCCCTAAGAGCCCTGTTTTGGTAAGCTGACTCTGGCCCACTGAGCAGTTTTGTTAATCTGTTGCTTATCCCCACCCTGACCCCAACTCCAGAAAGTCCATGCCATTGCCCAGGGCTCTGGCTACACTGAACCCATTGCTCTCCCCTCGTGTGTGTGTGTGTGTGTGTGTGCGCGCGCGCACGCACTGACTTAGAAGCAGGGCTTCATGTATGTCCTTTGGAAACTAACTGAAACTTCCTCTGCCGTCCGCACAGGCCACCAAACTCTGACTTTGCTGCTGGAGATTGCCTACCTCTAGAGGTTGTGACAGGTCACCCTCATGAAACTCCTGCCTCTGGGTCACCTCCAGGTGCCCCCCAGGACTCCGGTCCATGTCTGTGCACATATAGCACATGGATGCCCTAAGTTCAGTGCTACAGGCCTGGGGCAGGGTATTGCAGTCAGGCTGGCCTTGGCTGGGTGCTGGGAGGGAGCTGATGTGGATTTACAGCTCTGGAAATAAATGTGTCTGTCCAACTTCAGGCCCTGCTGTGGTGTGGTCAGGGTGTGGCTAGAGCGTCGTCCTCAACTCTCAGACTCCCAAGCCATCTTAGAAACACTACAGTAGACAGAGCTGGGGGTAAGACTCAGGGAGTCTTCCGTTTCGCATAGACTGTCCTTTAGCTTTAAATGGAAAAATGAATGGAATCAGAGCTGTAGCTCAGGACTAAGCTATTCCCAAGGATAACCCGATAAGAGGCAGAGTTGGTGCTTCTGGGGGATGTAGAGTGAACCCCTGAGCCTTCAGCTAAACACTAGCGCCATTCTCAGGGTCTGCTGCTGGACTTAAAAGTCAGTGTTTACTCATAGAGTTCAGCCTTGAGATTGGCTGGACACCATCGACCAAGAACTGGCTGATTTCTGGCATAAGACACCGACAGCACGTGAGGCCACTGATCCTGTGGGGAGAAGGACGGGGCAGTGGGCCCCGGATGGGTGAGGAAGCCCAGCCTCCTGAGTGGCCTGCTGAGTTAACCAAGCAGACGTGTGGAAATGTCAAGAACAATGTAGTACCCACATCACCTGCCCAGAACACATGAATTTCTCTATTCATCAGGTGCGCTCCAGGTGCCAAGCTCAGTGTTAGGCCCCGGGCAAGTTCCCAACGGCACATGAAGGCTCCCTGCCCTCCAAATATCCCAGGCACCCTTGCCTGTCTCTATTTTTATCATGGCATTTGCCTGTGCCTAGCACTGTAGTGTTTACAAGCCAGCTCTGCTCCCGCCAAAACTTCAGCCCAGGAAGGCAGAGCTTGACTTCTGTCAGGCAGCATTCTGGCCCCAGGCTTGGGCAATCGACAGATATTGTTTGAATGAAGACGTAGAGCCAGAGGCAGACTTGAAACAAGAACTTGTCAGACTGGCCTTGGTTGGGTGCTAGGAGGAAGCTGATGTGTTCTTTATAGCTGGACACTAAAGATGACTGGGTAGGTAGCCAGAAAGGCTCCAAAGGAAAGAATGTGGGGTCATATTAGAGAAAGTGGACCGTACCACCGAGGAGGTCATGGGAGGGGTGCTGGCGGTGCATGATGCTCTAACCTCAAGAAGATGACTTCGCAGGAAGGAAACCATACTCCCTGAACAAGGAAGAGTGTTAAGGGATGCCTGGGTGAGGAAGGGCAGCAGCCAGCAGGGAAAGAGGCCTAGGTAAGGCAGGGGCAGCAACCAGCAGGGGCCTTCAAGGGAGCCACACCCGTGAGTCCTTGCAGTGCATGATGCTGAGAAGAGCTGGTCTGGGTATGGGAGGCTGCTGGTAGCTCCCGTGCACTCTGGTTTACCGGCCCGGCAGTTGCTAGCCCAGTAGAGGATGTTGAACCTTAAAAGCATAGGCATTGGGGTGCTTAGATTGGGGGGATGACAGGGGAGTTGGAGGCCAGCATGGAAGAGGTGTTCCTATCATACCTAGTCCACCTGGGAGGATGGGCCCCAGGCACTAGACCTGCACTATTAGCCCCCATGTCCCATCATGTGGCCAAACTGTATTTTGAATGGCTATGGGCCTAGCTGGAACCTGCTGCCTCAGCGGGGCCTACTCTTGGGGGAGGGGTGTTTGCCCGTTGCCAAGGTACCCGGGTTCCGGCCTCTCGCAGTAGCCACAGCCATGCTGTACTCGCTGTTCTTAGTGCCATCGCTGTCCCTGCTGGTGATGCCTGTCCCTAGCCATGCCTGGTCACGGCCCCTCTGGTACCAAGTGGGGCTGGACTTGCAGCCATGGGGCTGCCAGCCAAATGGCCTGGATGGCTGCAGGAGCAGTCTAGGCTGCCCTGGTTACTGGATGGCCCTGGGAGGAAGTCGCATCTACCCCGTGGCTGGCATCACGATCACCACCACTATGATGCTGGTTATCAGCCGTATGATGTTACAGCGGTGGCGATCTCAGGTCATTAAGGATCAGGCGAGTACAGCTCCTTCTGTCCCTTATAATCCCTGCTTCTGCTCACACCCCATGGGCCCATGTCCTCCTATCAACCTGACTTAGGGCCTTGTGGGCCCTCCTGCCTGACCTTGTCCTCGCCCCTATGTCCTAGCCTTGCATCTCTATGGAACAAGGCTACAACCAGTCCATCCCCAGCCATTCCTCAGGGCCATTACTCTGACACATGTGCCCCATTTAATACTCCCATCCTGCGTTCAGCCTCACGGGCCCCAAGACCACGCAGCCCCTGGTAGCTCCCATCGCCCTGTCTCTCCCGCCTCGTTGGCACTGCCCCGCGTCTCTTCTCTCTAGCCGCTTTGCTGTCCATCCTGGCCCCCTCCCATCCTTACTCTGCTGTTATACCCGCAGCTCCCACAGGTGACTCCCAGTCCCTGCAGACACTGGAAACGGCAGGCGGCCGTTGTCTCAGACCGCACCCTGGTCCTCAGGGTCCTCCACATGCTGGATGCCATCCTGCTCCACATTGAGGGCCACCTACAGCGCCTGGCTTCCCAGGAACAAATTCAAATAAAAGGAACCCCCACCCAGTCTGGGTGATCCAACAGATGCTCCTCTTTCTCTGGTTGTCAGCTGCGGTGGGGAATGGCCCAGGGCCCTATGCTGGCGCACCAGCCTGTGCGTCCTTGGGACTGTCTAGACCCTCCCACTGCTGAGGCGGCAGCAGGCGGAAGTTGCAGTGCAAGGATAGATGGGCGGGTGGTCCCAGGCATAACTGCCCTCTCAGTGGGGTAGGTCCACTCCCTTGTTTCTATTTCAGGCAGGTGGATGAGTAAACAGACCCCCCAGCAGAAAGCAGCTGGCTCCAGCTCCTTTGCAAGTCTCTTCTCCCCAAGAGGTCATTGCTCCAGGGTCGCCGCTCCTTAGGTCCTTGACTCTACCCAAGCTCCCAACTCTAACCCTATCCTCACTCCCAGCTCAGCCTGTAGAGCCCCAACCTAGGTCCATCAGGTATCCCTACCTGCCATTATTTGTGTGGCAACTTCAGACATTGCTGTGGTGCCCAAGAAACTTCAAGGTCCCTGGAATAAGAGAGAGTTGGCCCTCACTCCTTTACTCCCTCTGTCTTCCATTGGTGATTCAGGTTGAAGGGGTCCCTGCGAACAGGTGTTTATAGAGTCCTATGTTTTAGAAAAGAAAATCCCAATTACAAACCAAAGAGACACGGAAGAAAATCAAAATGATGAGGAAAGGCCAGGGCTGATGCTCAGTTGGCAAGTTCTGTGCTTAGCGTGCACAAGGCCCTGGCTTTGATCTCTGAGAAGAAACAACATGAGAAAAATCACAACAAGTTTAAGAGTCTGCGTGTGTGTGTGTGTGTGTGTGTGTGTGTGTGTGTGTGTGTGTGTTTCAAGACAGACTCTAACCGTACAGCCCTGGTTGGACTTGATCTTGGTGTCTCCCCCACTGCTTCCTCTTTCCAGGTGCAGGTACAGTTTGTGCCCCAACACCTGGCTAGAAAAGGGGCTTAAACTGACAAATATTGTAATAGTAAATCCAGAAAAAATAACATTCATGGCAATTTCATGTTACATTCCTGTAATGTTTTTCCTGCCATAGCTCTTTTTTTTTCATTTTTGGATTTTTCAAGACAAGGTTTCTCTATAGCTTTGGTACCTGTCCTGAAACTCTCTCTCTGTAGACCAGGCTGGCCTTGAACTCACAGAGATCCGCCTGCCTCTGCCTCCTGCGGGGTGTGCTGGGATTAAAGGCGTGCACCACCACCGCCCAGCTAGCTTTGACTTCTTTTGGTTTGTTCTGTTTTAGGACAAGGTCTTGGTAGGTAGTTCTGTTGACCTAGAGCTCACTATGTGGACCAAACTGGTCTTGAATTTCATCTGCTCCAACCACTAGGTGTAATGGCTTCTACATAAAATAACTATGAGCAGGGAGATGGTTCAAGAGGGGAAAATACTCTGGGCAGTCATAGAGCATGCCTTTAATCCCAGCACCCAGGAGGCTGAAGCAAGTGTAATTCTGTGAGTTCAAGGCCAGCCTGGTCGACAGAGTGAGTTCCAGGACAATCAGAGCTGTCCCACAGAGAAACCCTGTCTCATAAAACAAAAAAAAGTAAAAATCCTAAAACTACTTCCTTGCTGTGTAAACCTGACTACATGAGTGGGAACTTGTGTGGAAAACTAGATGTAATAGTACTCATAAAATCCCAGCATTTCTGTGAAGTGAGAGACAGAGGCAGGAAAAGTCGCCTGTCAGAATCACATGGCCTGGACACAATATGTGACAGAAATAAGAGAGATCCTGCCTCAAAAGGAAGGCAAGAAACTGACTCCCAAAAGGTTATCTTCAGACCTCCACAAGTTCACTGTGTTATGCCCACACTGGCCTGCTCATGTCCTCTCTCTATCTCTGTCACACACACACACACACGCACGCATGCACGCACAAATACAGGTAAATAAATTTTAGTTTGAGAGATGGCTTGGTGATTAAGAGTGTGTTCTGTTCTCTGAAGGACCTGAAGGACAGCACCCATGTCTGTCAGGTGGCTGACAACCAGCTGTAACTCCAGTTCCAGGAGATCTCCAGCCTGTAAGGTCACTCACACTCACGTGTTCATAACCACCCACACACATACACATGAAAAACTAAAATAAATCCCAGCCAGGCATGCCAGTGCAGGCCTGAGGCAGAGACAGGTGGATCTCTATGAACTTAAAGCCAGTTTGGTCCACAGTGAGTTTGAGGTTAGCCCAAGCTACACAGTGAGACCCTATCTTGAAAGAAGAAAGAAGGAAAGAAAGAAAGAAAGAAAGAAAGGAAGGAAGGAAAGAAAAGGACAAAATAATAACAACAATAAATTAAAAGTTTTCTGTTTTTATTTTATGGGTATGAGGTTCTGCCTGCACACTTACTGTGTTTCACATGCAGACCTGGTACCCAGAGAGGCTAGAAGAGGGTGCTGGATCCTCTAGGACTGGAGTTACAGATGCTTGTGAACCACCGTATGGATACTGGAAATTGAACCCAGGAAGATCAACCAGCATTCTTCGTTTTGTTTCTTTGGTTTTTCAAGACAGGGTTTCTCTGTGTAGCCCTGGAACTCACTCTGTAGATCAGACTGTCCTCGAACTCAAAGATTCACGTGCCTCTGCCTCTGCCTCCCAAGTGCTAGGATTAAAGGTGTGTGCCACCACTGCCCAGCTTCAACCAGCACTCTTAACCACTGAGACATCTCTCCAGTCCCTAGAATAAATCTTTTTTAAAAATGCATGGTGATGGTGGCGCACGCCTTTAATCCCAGCACTTGGGAGGCAGAGGCAGGCGGATCTCTGTGAGTTCGAGACCAGCCTGGTCTACAAGAGCTAAATCCAGGACAGGCTCCAAAACCACAGAGAAACCCTGTCTCGAAAAACCAAAAAAATAAAATAAAATAAAATAAAATAGGATAACCCATTTATAATTTAGGAGGTGAATTTTTTCATACGGAGACTAGGAAGATAATTCAGCCTTCTCTAACATGGAAATTTATATTTTGTTGATTGTTTAGGAAAGTTATTTTGTTTCTCCTAACTCATTATTGACAGTGTTGCATAAATGTTACACATGGGTTGCTGGTAGCATTGTTGTTAAATTTCATGTGGAGGCCAGAGGTCAGTCAGTGTTGGGTAATTTCCTCCATTGTTCTCCAGCTGACATTTGAATGTCAGCTCCAGAGGAATCTGAGGGCAAAGGACAGAGATCATGAGTGAAATCAGGACATGTTAGGTTGATTTGAGTGTGTGAGTGCGCGCGCGCGCAAGCTTACAGATGTTTACCATGATGGGTACATGTGACAGAGAACAGCTTGCAGGAGTTGGTTCTCTCCAGGGGTCAAGCTCAGGTCATCAGGCCTAATTGGAAGCCTCTATACCCAATAAGCCATCTTGCCAGTTCTTAGGTTATCTTAACTTTGTAGGTTTTCCACAATGACACGTCCATGTGGACATGTTCCTTGAGCCCTTCTCAAGGCCTGAGAGTGAAGGACATTGAAGATAAAGCTTCGTCAGCCTCTTGCAAGGTCCCCTCTGCATCCTGCAGGGCTTGATGAGCTCGCCTGCTTGCTGGCCGTACAAAATGGGTGTGAGTGGGTATGAGCGTGTTTGAGTGTGTATGAGCGTGTATGAGTGGGTATGAGCGTTATGAGCAGGTGTGAGTGGGTGTGAGCATGTATGAGTGGGTGTGAGTGGGTATGAGCGTGTATGAGTGGGTGTGAGCAGGTGTGAGCGGGTGTGAGTGTGTATGAGCATATGTGAGCATGTATGAGCATGTATGAGCGAGTATGAGCGTGTATGAGTGGGTGTGAGCAGGTATGAGCGGGTGTGAGTGTGTATGAGCATTCACTCCATGGGTACAGCAGACCTGGCTCCTCCTTCGCCTGCTCACAAGCGGAGGTGCATCTGCTGTCGAAAGAGACTTGAAAACACAATTCCTCTGAGGCAGCAACTACGGCCAGCTGTGGTCTGGGACCTTCAGGATGAGTGGAGTGAGTAGAGGAGGGGAAACAAGCGGCGGAGACCCAGATCTCAACTTGTGCCAGATCTAGGGTGCTCTGATTCCAAGTGTGGGGAGCAGGAAGGAGAGACACAGTTAGTGGCTCCTAGAGGGGGTGTGGTAGGCAGAAAAATGGCCCCACAAAGACATTCATGTCCTGGTGCCTAAGGCAGTAGGTGGCGGAAAGAATTTGACAGATGAATTAGAGAGAAGGATCTTAAATTAGAGGTTTTATAACAGATCATTTTGCTGGGCCAATGCAAGGGAGGGGGGGAAGCAGGTGAAGCAGGCAGGAATCAGAGCTATTCAGAGAAAGAGGTCCTTTATCCTGAACCAGGGGTTAAAGAATCCAGGTGGCATCAGAAGCAGGGACAATCAGGCACCAACCAGCAAAGTAACCTACAGTCAAAGGATTGAAATGTACCGATCACTCCCCACAGCCCCTGGGGAAACATGGCTCTGATCTGAGTTCCATGGAACCCACATCAGCTACAGAATGGTGAGATAACAGGATTTTGATGCAATAAATCTGTGTTGCTCCAAGTACTAAATTTGTGGTGTGGCTTTTTTTTTCTGGTGCTAGAGTTTGAACCCAGGGCTTCATGCACGCTAGGGCAAACACTCTATGACTGATCTCCACCCCTTAGCCCAGGGCCAGCTCATTCTTGCAGCCACAACAGAAAAGTCGTGAAACTGTGCATCAGACCGAGCAGCAAACCATGTTAGTCCCCATCCTGGGGAGACTGGGGAAGACCCAGAGCTTGAGGGCAACCTGGGCTACATGGCAAAACTGTGGAAAAACTGATCACTAATAAAAACTAGTAAGAATATAGATACTGGGGGCTGGAGAGATGGCTCAGTAGTTAAGAGCACTGGCTGCTCTTCCAGAGGTCCTGAGTTCAATTCCCAGCAACCACATGGTGGCTGACAAACATCTGTAATGAGATCTGGCACCCTCCTCTGGCGTGCAGGCATACATGGAGGCAGAATGTTGTATACATAATAAATAAATAAATCATTTAAAGAAAAAGAATATAGATACCAAGAAT